TATATATATATATATATATATACGTTGAAATGATCATTAAGATTATCTATTAGGAATCAAAAACATCCCTGCAGCCACTACCGAGCAAAATGTGTTCGCAACGCTAGATCACGTTACTCAAAAAATGCACTATAACAACAGGTGTCGCAAAAGCCTAGTGTTACAACTATTCGTCAGTGCGAGCAGACGTGCTCTCGGATGCCGAAAACGACACTGAATGCTAGTGAATACGTGAGTGGCAAATACCCGACAGAGCCTGATCTGAACCTCCGAAAACACTAGCCATCCAAGACATGCATCGGGAAAAGTGATTAACCGAAATCCGCCGAGCCAGCAGACCAGACCAACAAAGTGAAAACTTACTTTGCACTCTACTTATCCATACTGAGCTACTCACCTATACAGGAGAGATAACCAAAGGCCAATAAGACTGTGCTGCCAAAAGCAGTTCGCGTGACTGATACGCATGACTTACACAAACCGAGCAACTGCTCCTGCTTCGAAACAAAGAGTTGTGCCACGCCCGATAAGGTAAGCACCACCGTCTCGGCCCATTGTTTAGCTGCAGTGTCACGAGTGTGGTGAATGAGCAGACTGTTTGGCCGACCGTCAACACGTTCCACTGGAGCACTTGCGCACAATTCACGCACGTTTGTCAGCAGTGGGAACAAGACCTAGGACCAGTGGAGAGTAAAATGGACGGGGGAAAAGACAGTTAAAAAAAAAGAATAAAGCGTCAATAAAATATACTGTAATGAAACATGAGACGGCTTGTGTAGCACATTCAGCTGAGCTTTCAATTATAACTAAATCAGTGTACCAGTGGTAATATTTTGCGAACGGTGTGCAACCCGGGTTCGAGCAGAAGACAAGGCTGACGGAAACTTGGGGACTGCGTCTACCTGATAAGATCGGAGAAAGACAAACGGATAGTTTTCCATCGAATTTTTTGGTCAAACTTATGAGTGATATATTCCGTCAAGAAAATACATAGTTTTTTTGTAATGACCCTTCAATTAATTGAAAACTTCCTCTGAGGTATGTGATCTATTCGGCAGGCGTCTCAGTCCACCTTACGAGGCAACGGCACAGGGTAGTGATCATCCATCAAGATGGCAAACCACTCAGTGCAATCTATGACATGATTGTTCTATGACGATAATGGTTTATTCGCACCTCTATTTTCCTTATAATCGAACCCATACATCCATAGTATATCAGCTTCAATAATCGGTTGCGCACCAACGTCGGCAATCTCACAGTACGGAAATTTTCCAACCCCGGGTTCGAGAGACAAGGCTGACGGAAACTTGGGGACTGCGTCTACCTGATAAGATCGGAGAAAGACAAACGGATAGTTTTCCATCGAATTTTTTGGTCAAACTTATGAGTGATATATTCCGTCAAGAAAATACATAGTTTTTTTGTAATGACCCTTCAATTAATTGAAAACTTCCTCTGAGGTATGTGATCTATTCGGCAGGCGTCTCAGTCCACCTTACGAGGCAACGGCACAGGGTAGTGATCATCCATCAAGATGGCAAACCACTCAGTGCAATCTATGACATGATTGTTCTATGACGATAATGGTTTATTCGCACCTCTATTTTCCTTATAATCGAACCCATACATCCATAGTATATCAGCTTCAATAATCGGTTGCGCACCAACGTCGGCAATCTCACAGTACGGAAATTTTCCAACCCAAGCACGTCAGAGATGTATAAGACTGTTTCCTAGAGTCCGTAATGTAGTGGGCCTCTGGAACGTTAGTATCTATAATAATCGAGACAGCGCTTCCGGGAGGATGTGCCAAATGCGCATCCGCATTGTGTGCCCCTAGCCTCAGCAGAAAATCATTCGAGATGAGCTTTCGTCACAAGAAATGATTTGACGGTGTAACCGCGGCCGAGGCTGACAGCATATCCTTCGAACAGCACTTTTCTATCGTAACCGACGGCCATTGTATCCTTAATCTCAGGGTATTTACCGATGAAACTCTTATGTACGTCAGCCAACGTTCTATTCCAAGTTGTTCAGCTACACTGGGCGACAGCAGAGTAGCGTGGAACGGACCATCCAAGAGAGAATGCGTTATCTCCGTGCCACAAGATCCAACCAACCGAACCCTAACGAGTTCAAGGTAGCTTCAGGAACACCAAATGAATGTCGAGCAAAAATGAATCATTGAGCTGTGACACTCTTTTTGGTTTCTAGGTGCCATACCACCCAAAGTGAGCACGATTGCTGAGACAAGACTGGACAAGATTAGTCGACATGCTTGGGTTGGGTTCCAACTACAGACCTACCGGTCAGTAAGTTCGTACCCTATAAGCACTGAGCATTTATTCCAAAGACCTACCGGTCAGTACCCTATAAGCACTGAGCATTTATTCCACTATTCACGATCTGGTGTGTTATGGAGCCGTCAACGGTGGGGTTGGTTGCGGTGTGGAGCAGTGAAACGTTTGGGTACGTGACAATCAGAGGCTCTATAGCGGGGATCTAGGAAATTTAATCGCCTGAGAATCTCGCTGAAGTTCACATTCGGAATTTTATTTATTCTGGTGTAAACCAAAAACAACATGAATCGTTATCGCCAAGCGTGAGAACGATTATGAGCAGCTGTGGCTTCATTTCGGCGACAGAGCTTGTAATGTAGACAGCCAGAGGTAGGTAAGAAATTAAAGTGAGACAAAGGTATCACACTTTTCAGAAGAGCTCGGTAAGCAATCAATAGTATACCAGGCTCTTCTGAAACGATAACCACTCAATCGGTTCCAAACTTTTTCCAATAGAACGTATCACAGTGTTTCAATTTTTTTACAGAAGTCGATAAACAGAAAACATATCCTCGCTTTACTCGACACATTTGCGTTTCCACGTATGAAAACGAAAAACTGAATGCATTATCGAGTAGTGGACGTAGTTAAAGACGACTAGCAATCATCATTGTTGGAGGAGTATGGTGCATAAACACGATGGTAAATAGACATGTATTGAGAGCAGTGGGTGACGCCTCATCAAAATCCACCTGACAAAATAATTTATTTCGGCTGAAGAGCTCTTGAACACAATGTGCGCACACCATTGTCAAGTTAAAGTCGGTGTTTGACTTGCCAGAGGTTGTCATGCATTGTTAGTTGACACGAGCACAAACAACTGAAGATCTGATGATTGACTGGACACAAGCTATCATGAAAGGATTCAAATTCCAGAAACCTGACCGTTTGTTGTGTACCTAGTTAACAAATTTCTCTATAAAGCGAAACCGCTTTGCAAAAGCCAAACTTCGATAGTGGCTATACTTGGTCGGTGCTCTGAAAATCTTGCTCTGGGCATGTTAAAAAACACAAATCTCATATCAGGTGCAACTTAATTCAACCAAAAGGTCAATTTGAGAGCATTCACACATCTAAAGCGACTGTTTTTTTATTGCCCGGTGTCTAAAAGAGGGTCGATTAACAACTTACAAACATTCTGGACCCATCCTACGTACGAGAGAATCCTCCAAGTGAACTACAACATTGAAGGGTACCTTGCTTCCGGAATGGGAGTGGCACTTTTTCAAAAACATCCATTTTAGGGACTTTATGGTATTTATGAAAGAAAAAAATAATCTGGGATGTATGTTTGATTACGCATCCACTAGCCAGCGCGCTATGTATTAACGACTTTCTGGGCTACAGCTGCTCTTCACAACCAGGGTTGATAAATTACTCGTCTTCGATAGGATAACTCCAAAGATAGGATAGATCTTCATTCACCGCAATCATCGGAAAGAGTGACTGAGCTGAGAGTGTGGGCAATTTTATCATCAGTCAACTCGATCATTGTATCACGCTGCAGATAGCAAGCTGCAAATAGCGAGCTTTCTAAAAGAGGATGCTTTGGGTCCCGAGCAGTAAATAACAAGGAAAACACCTCGTGCAGCCTCTTAGTTCAATTCAGGGTTGGTCATGGAAATACTTTATGATAGGCCTTATAGATCTAGGTTGATCCGAAGATAATAGAAAAGATCATCATTCAGGAGTAACACGCTTTCGGTGCTCCGCTGTCATGCCACCCAAAGGGAGCACGAGGGCTGGGATACTGTCAGTTCGCCCAAGCCTAGACACGACTAGTCGAGATGCTGAGGTCGGGTTCGAACCACGGACTTTCTGGTCAGTAAATTCGCGCTCTAACCACTTGAGCCATCTCGCCCCGAAGGATCGTCTCATCAAATAATCCAGATGTAGTTAGGCAGTAATTTAAACGAATTTTGCCCACATCTTGCAAGAGAGCTCAGTGGCTAAGGGGCGAGCTTGCTGAGTGGAAGATCCGTGGCTCAAACCCGACCCCGGAATCTCCGCAGCATGTCTAGGATTGCGCTACCTGTCAACATCGTCCCCCTCCTGCTTCCTTCGGGCAGCACAGCAGCTAGGTGTCGAAAAGGCGTTAGGGCGGAACGAGTAGTATCACTACTACTATTGGTACTGCTATTATTACACCTTCAGAAGTCAGAATGAAGCACAACGCTATCGTAGCTTTTTGAAGTTGTAATTTAACCACTTCTTCACTTCGTATTTTCGACTAAACTGAAGTCTGTAAATTTATGCGCTGAAAATTTTCAAAGTCCGACGGAGATTCCCTTGAACTAGAAGATCTACCGCGCCAATCGTCAAGGTCAACTTATCTGCTGACCAGATGGGTTAGGCTTTTTCTTAGACTGATAATTAATTCGAAGACCGGAGTCCAACGACCCACTCCTGAATGGATGGGAATATATTTGGTTCCATGCTTAAGGATGTGAAAAACCCCAACAGTTATAAGATAAACTGAACCGTCTATAGTGTTCCCAGTTGATGGAACGCTAGGTAGGCCGAAACCGCGTGTGAAATAAAATTAGGGTGCATTATTTTTGGTAACCGTTACTGAAGAATTCCAAAAATGTGCGTTTACTCCAAGAAGTGTATTATCCGAACTTTTTCTGCCCATCCCAGTGAACTTGGAATTTCATACGTCGCAAACAGTGCGACCCTTGGATAATACTAATATTAGTTCTTTGAATCCCCCGCGTGACACCTAGGTAATGGAACTTTTGATCTAGCAGAACAGTGTCAATTGTGGAGTCTGTAGGCTGCATTAAGATTTATGAGGATCTTAGCAAACCAACATGTGTTTAAAAGCGTTCCAGTTTGTCCAGCATGAGGTGCTTTTTCTCCGTTCATTGAACAAGGTACACAAAACTCGTGCTGAGTTTTGTAAGAACCAAGAATGAATCCATGAAATGCCAGGTAATTTGGTATGCGAAAACCTACCTAAAAGACGAAGAGGTTAATCGACTAATGCTCTAGTTTGAAGGTGCATTTCACCCTGAATATGATTTTTTGCGCTGATATAATCCGTATACCGGAACAGCCGACTAAACCTGATAGAACCTTGAAATAGGAAGGTCACATCGCAGCATGATGTAGATCTAAAAATCGGAAAAATATCTCATTCAGCAAAGCCTGAAATTGGAAATCGTATGGGTTCACTCAGGATACATGAGATATAAGCACAAAAATTGGGTGCAAACTTTGAGCATATGATATAACGTAGTAGCGACGGAGTTCGTTGTCATTTTTTTGGCTGCAGCATGACCGCTATATGAAAAATTGTCATAAAAAGGACAACGCTTAAGAGAGAGAGAGAGAGAGAGAGAGAGAGACGAGAGGACACCGCTAGGAATAGAGTGGACGTACTTTCCAGAAGAGAGCGGACCAAGTGGCCTCATCAAAACGGCGTGCACTATAGAGACGAGAGACACCGCTAGGAATAGAGTGGACGTACTTTCCAGAAGAGAGCGGACCAAGTGGCCTCATCAAAACGGCGTGCACTATGGCACTCGACTGTATTGAACAGCGTCTGACAGGCTGATTTGCGTATTGCTGGGCGTCGATCCAAACACAGGTCAGCAAGTTTACAAAATATATCAATCCATAAATCGTGCAGTGACAGACCACCTTGACCAATCTTTGTCTCGGGTAGTCCGTCTAATTGTAGCAGGTAATCTGCCAAATGGAGCTACAAAGGGGTGTAGTTGGACAGTAGACGACAATGATTCGGGTTCGGATTCGGATCTACGGACAGTAAGTGACTGTATGAAAGGTGATGTGGATCCCCGGCAAATATACGATAAAAAATAACAGAAAGTCGTACAGTGCAAATGATGACACCTTTTCTGAAAAGCAGTAAGAGCGAAGGATTTATATGATATGGGTTCATGTGATGGATCGCGAAATTCCGTTTAAACTGGTAAGTGTGCAAGATTTCGGGGTGCAATTCGCGGAGTATAGATGTAGAGAATGTTGCACGCAATCGACCATCTGAACCCAACGGGCAGCGGACTAAGGCACCTTTTTGTATTAAGAAAAGCTATACTGAAGCAGCACTCTTACACTCGAAGGGGAAAAAGCGTTGCAGTAAGCTATGTTAATGCATAGTGGACGTGGTTGGAAACCTTTATAATTCACTTGCACGACGAACTTTATTCACCCTTGACTACGTCTAACCAGAAACACCCTATATCTAATAGCGGGTTTGTGGTTAATGCGTGGACATGATTTTTAAAAAAATCATAACATAAATCATTTGCCGGTTTGTTGATCTGAAGCTTTCGGCACATATCATGTTCCCGAAATCAAGTCATTGTCGAAGTTACTGAGATGAAACGTACGGCTGAAGGGAAGTAGAAAATTAGGGGTGATCACTATCCTCTATATGCAGCAGCAGCAGCGCCGCATGCAGCCACGGTAGTTAAAGAATCGATAGATTTGTTGGCTGCAAAATATTATTCATACAGTCGTTGATATCGTCTACAGAATGAGATTCGAGTGGCTGATCAAAACACTGCAAAGCACAAAGTCAAGCAACCTATTAGCCAGACTGTCAATTTGGAGGTGTTTCCTCCTTACTCGTAATGCTAAAACGGGAAAGGTAACACATTGTTCGATGATCACATTGTAGGAACACTGCGCAACCAGACGGTGGGGAGTAGGTGAACTTAGACAGGCGTCGACTTTTACCCTGAGTTTGAATGAGCGGTGTAGCGTAGAGACATCTTCTGACTAAAATCACGGTTTCATTGCACGTCTAGTGCACTTTTGACCTAAGCGATCAACTGACACTAACTAAGAGATTACCAATGATTATGTCCAGCAAAAGACTACAATTCATTGTACAAAGTTAACACTCACGGAAGGTCTTCCCAGCACACTTAAGAAGTAGTCAGGTGAGAAAATCCTGCAACAATATGCACACTACATATACGGTAGACAAGCGAAACACAGATGAAAGACAACCCAAGAAAACCGAGGATGAATGTCTAAACAAGTGATCGTAGTGAGTCAGTTTATAGAACGACTGAGAAAACATACCACTAGAAAAACGCATGTGCTGAAGTTCAGTTTGTAGGACACATTAGTCCAGGGTTAGATATCACAGTTTGATGAGCAGACCAGACAGCTAGATAAAACTCCAATACACTAACGATACACTTACAATGGACCCAATCGCCGTGAGAGCGATATTCAAATCCTGTTTCTGGTGTCCAAAGCGAGCAGCAGTTTCCACGCAAGCCGGATAGCAGTTGGGCAGAAGGGACGATAAATAGTCGGTGACAATCAGCTTGAAGCATTGGAAGGCAGTTTGAATGAGGTCGACCCTATTAAACGGTCAGAACAAACCACAAAGGCTGTGAGTTACAAAAAATTATTAAACTCAGTGGTTACCAATGGTCAAAACAAACATGGTGATTCAAACGCCCGCTAATTGTCCAGGTAACCAAACATTTTCCCAGAGTATTACTATTGAGGGACCCATCATAAACAAAATATATGAACCATGAGAAGTGACATCATCAGTAGTATATATCGGAATGTTAGTAGCTTGAGTGCGTAGACTAGTTGTAGATCAGGTGGCTGTTGACCTGTCCACCACGCTCGAGGAACAATAAAATGATAAAAAAAAGGAACGATAAAATATAATATAATACAATATAATATAATATAATAAAAACAAAACAGAACCGCAAGAAAATGATCAAGCCGCTTTACTGACGACAGCTAAGTGAAGACCAACGAGCACGCACTTGTAAACCCAGGGTCAGGTACCAGTTTTCCAAAACTAGTAAAAGATTATACTGAATTTTCACGTTCTGCGCAAGGAAACAGAAGGGAAAATGGAGCTTTTCAAACCAAAATAGCTCACTTGAATGAATCCCGGATTACACCGATGATTTCAATCAGCCGCAACCAGCAAGTACCGATTTGCTCTCCGCAACAGTGGAGCATGTGCTGCACACACTCGAGCTGCTTACCTCTGACATCATCATACGGGACGTCGGACAGAGCCGACAAGGGATCCAACACGACAGTGGTCAAGCTCTATGGATAAATAAAACAAGGATTGGATTCCGAGATAACAAAAAAAGGATGGGAACATAGTCAGTTCCTAAACGTTTGTTTAAAAAACAGCTGACTATTCAGAGTAACCCCATAACACCTTTGCAGATGTGCAGCAATGTTGCAACCGAGCTGGGCAATCATTATGTCGTACGAGACGAATTGGAATTGATGAATCACAACTCGAAAACTAAAAAGTTTTTTGAACTAGGCAGGTGAATCCTTTAAACCAATGCATTTTGAAAGCTGTGAGTAACAACACCGACCCATTTCCATATATACATCAGCACGCTATTCGAGGCAAAGTAGCCTCAAAGGACGGACCAATATTCCACTGAGCGAAATAGCCACTACCAAACATGAGTAACACAAAAAGGGTCCTCTTATGATCAATTCGCAACTTTGGACGAAAGGGGACTCAACAACGTATGCATGCAATCATCTAATGATGGACGGCAGCAAGTTAGGGAGATATGATAATGATCTACTGATGGAAATCAACAGGAGAATTCTAATGCACAAATTCCTGAAACATATGCCACTTTGGAGAAGGGATATCCTCAATGATTTGTGAACTCCTCAGGGGGACGTTGAAGACCGCAAAAATGACGTCCAAATGATCGAGCGTCACGGCCGGTTCACACGCAGTCCGTGTTTTTCGGTGCGATTATTCAGCTTTCAGTTTGTTTTCAAGAGTAGTCAGCGAGAATGCATCTAAAAGACTGGAATGAGTGCCTCCTGAAAGAGGCAAGGAGTTGTCTGCTCTGGAGTCAAACATGGCCACCAGTTTGTTCATAATGGCGCAACAGATAGCGTAAATTACTATCCGAGAAAGTGTCTATTTGCGTGTAGCACGCACGTCGATGAGAAGCAAGACAGACAGGAAGTTCATTTCCCGAGAATGAGAAAAATGTGCATGCATGGAAACAGAAAACAGCATGGTTATAGCAGAAAGCCAAATACGGTGTGCGTCTGAGTTACGAAGGCATTGGCAGAAAACACCAGATGAGCGGAATGTAACCAAACGCTTTTGAACGGCCACCACCAGCTGAAAAACGAATTGTTTGGCACTTGAATACGGCAGTGGACACTGGGGGAAAACGCCTTTTCCGGTAATGAATTAAGTAGAAAACCATCTGGACTAGCGGACAAATGCATAATGCGCTAATCCAATTACGATTCCGGAGTGCGTGAGAAATGAATGAGGCCCCATAGCCTAGTGATGCGTGTTACACTCTTTATTGACCTTACCTGTGTTGTCGGTGTGACCGCTCAATAAGAAGGCAACCAAACAAAAAGAAATAAAAAGCGCTCTCCTGTAGCCTGTTCAATGGTCTAAATAGAGACGGTCGATCTTCAGGGTGATTATACAGTACTTGCACGTTGCCAGAAATAATTGTTTGCAAAGATATGCTTCGAAATCATTCCATCCGACAATGGGAAAATAGATCGAACTCTCGCTTATCAAATGCTCGATAAAATGCTAATAAAACATGTTTCATGATCAGTTGTGTTCGGCAGAACGCGGGTAGATTCAGACAAACCGGCTATATTTAACTGAGTAGCGGATTTATGGATTCAATTGAAGTGTAATCAGGATATGGCTAATACTTATTACTAAAATACACGGTAATCAATCTGCTGGAGAAAAAATGAGGAAAGTGAGTGTTTTCGAGATAAGGGTCATTTTCTTCGACTACTCGAGTTCCTGATGCTTGAGTATTTGACATCACCCAATAAGTATACACAGGTATGAGATGCAGTTGCTTTGATTACGTTCTGTACATAGTCACTCTCTAATGATCCTCAGTAAGTTTAGTGCCTTTGTTGGAGAATGAGTACAGAATGTCATTGATGGTATTCTCTTTTAAGGACAAGCTATCAGTAAGGATACAGCTCCAAGGGACCTTCGTTTCTAAGGTCACACAGTAAACGCTTTTCGGTCCTGAAAGTAGCTCTCAAGCTGGTCATTCAGAGATAGCACAATGTCCACGCATCTTGCCATGGACCTGTATCTACGAGTCAAACATCATATTAAACCGCTGACGTCACCCACAAAGCCACTCGACTTTTTTTGTCATTCAGTAGATCCACAAGATAAAACTTCTAGTTCTGAGCACGGAACCAAGAAAACGATAACGCTTGGGAAACTTGCTTTTATGAGAATGTTCATTATGGGATTGAATCATGCCAGAGTTGACATACCAGTGACAACGAATCGATGGAGCCCAACACAACATGCACGCTGTTCGGTAGATCATATCTTCCACAAGCATCCAGCAGATTCCCTTGAACGGTTACTCTATCAGTAAAACTACATCACCTGCGCAATGGAGCATTTTGTTGGCGGAAGACCTTTGGCGTAGCTGTTATACGGACCGGGTAAAAGTAAGTCTCCAAATTTGACAGGAGTCACATAAGCCAATGCATCGGTGCAAAACATACCCAATTTAAGCTCTTGAGTTAAACAGGGAATCGTATCAAACTCCGCTGTTGCTGTGAACTGTCATCATAGCGAATTTCCTGTTGAGAAGCCAGTCAGGACGTGACCAGGCGATTTGGATTACTACTGGTGCAATATCCTGTCTGAGTTCGAATTAATCACACTGCTGATCAGCTGCTCGTGGATAAGCTGTTTCGTCTTCAATTACTAACCAGGACGCAGCGGAACAGAATCGTCCTGGTGATTCGTGAAACCATCATTATCATCGACACCACATCAGTGTTCAGCAATCACTGATACCTCGCTGTCGTATTTCGTGAGATGCATGCTGATGATGATCCCAAACAAGAAGCTAGAACTTTTTTCACACAAACTGACCTCAATTACAAGATGAATCACAAATGGTGTATCAGTCTCATTAAGAAAAAACAAGTGGAATCTTATTAATTTACTAAACATTACAAAAGCGGTGCTACGTTATCGTCCTGTAGACGAAAACCTATGGGACATAAAGAAGCCTAATAATAGTAATATGGAGATCCGAATAAATTATTCTTATCACTAAAAAGATTCTCCCGAATAATAATAACAAACAATAGTGCGTTCTGCTCTTCCAACTGAGAAATCCTCGTTGACTTGTAGTATGTGGATGACAGCAATCTAACAATTTTTGGGGGTTTTTCCACCACTTCTGGTAATCAATATGCATCCGAAATTCATTCATTACCAACTCCATAGGATCTGATTCATAACTTCTGATAGATTTCCCTTTTTACTACTGTCTATTAGGACACACACCCAACGAAACCAGTCGGTAACTGATCACCACCGAAAGCCGCTATCTCATCAAACAATTATCCGAATAACCTATCCAGCATAGCTGGAGGCCAGTACTTCATAATTCACAGCAGGGGTCTGTTGATTTAATGACTAGACCTTCAACGGAGGGTTTATCAACCCGGGGAGCGCTGGTCAGCGGAATATTTCTCAGGTGACGAGCCCCCAAGAAGTATGGTTCGGCCACAGTTGGCTAGAGTAGGAGTTCAAGTGAAGTAATGGCCCTTTGGTATCCTGCCGATTTCATCTATCAGAATGTGACAGTGTTCACACTAAACTCTTATGAGCTGATGTCATTCTTGTAATCATCCAAGATACTGCACTTTTCGACCAATTTGATGAGAAAAAATCAGTGTTTTTGCAAAAACCGAGGCATGACATAATAGTTTTGTGAACTGTATGTCACAAAAGGATGAAGTAAAAGAATGCATTTATTAAAACAAAAACCCCCAATCAGAATTAAAAACCTAATGATACTGCGACAATCTTACACGCCGAAGCAGGACTAAATTTCAACAGCCTCAAAAAACTGCAATAACTAAATTAGTGAGTCAAGTCCAGAGAGCATTTTTGGGTTGCGGGAGGCCTCATGCAGTCACACTACGATGATGGTGACGAGAGGCCGAATTGGTTTCGTCGGAATGGACGGCGCCTTCGACATCAGGTGAGCGAAGAGGGCAGCAGACTATTAGCTAAAACCTACGGAGATCAAAATGTGCAACCGGGCATGGCTAGAAACCGGTGCATGCCAGTGGTCAGCATTAACTACATCAAAAATATTAGTTTCTCAGTCGTTTCCTGTGGCGCCCCCGCCGATTGATCGTGTTACGTGCTATAAGGCCATTCCTTCCGAAATCCAACCAACCATCAGAATAAACTATGTTGACCACTCAGTGTACACTGAGTTTGAAAGTGCATGCCCATAGGCGACTTGCTTCAGTTCAGGGGATACCAAAGCACCCATACGTATATAGGGCGATCGTATCGCACAAAAATTTCATATGATAAACTTAGCGTCCACTTCGCGTAGTGCGCACTTCATTTCACTCATGGTTTGACCCAACTCACGAACTTGTTGACGGAAGGGGCGAATATCGCTTATGTGCACGAGATAATGGACTACTCTCAAGAATACTACTGTCTAAGAGTGGCCGATCCCAGCTGGCCCTTCAATCTTTCCATTGAATTTTGGGACCATAAGGAGACCGAATCCAACCTCGAACCCTGTTGCATGTCTCTAAAAAAAATACCCTTCAGCTGTAGCACCCTTTCGGTGCCTAAATGCCATGCCACCAGAAAGAAGCACGAGGACTGGGATACTGCCAGATGGCCCAAGCCTAGACGTCGAGAAGCAAAGGTCTGGTTCGAACGACGGACCTTCCGGTCAGTAAATTCGCAATCTAACCACTGAACCATGTCGATCGAAATTCACCTCAAAAGGAAAACAAGAAAGTTGGTCTGACGTACAACCTAGACAGAACAACATGACTATTGGTGAATGGACTAATTGTTCACGCCTAACTGGAAATCAACTTGTACGATGGGTCCGACAAAAATACCAAACACTGGGATTTGACGTTAATTGAGTTTACACCGAGTGATACGTGTTCGCTTGGCGACAAAGAATCGGAAACATTCCATGGATCTTCATTCTATTACGTTCGTAATATGTACGCAAACAGCACTGGATGATAGTGAGGGTTGATGCACTCCTACCACAACGTAGAAGGTAATGATGACTAAGCCAACCTGGTGATAGGTTTTGGGAAATCGGACACAAACTGAAGCAGTGTTTCAGTAAGCCAACTCCTGAAGTTCCCATGAGAAATCGTAGGATTGATAGAGATATGATAAAACATAACAGCCCAAGAATCACTGCATCAGCATACGGGCAGCGGTGAAACACAGATTATAAGGGACGATAAAAGATAAACGGAAATAGATAATAACAGACGGGTCACAAGAACCGATGAAGGCAGAGGAGTTTACTGAATACGAGGGACACCTGGTTAGCCTGAGGTTTAGCATCCACGTGAGCCACCAAAGTGGTTCAGAATGCCAATACAATATAAGAAGGAAGTAGCCTTGGCGTAAACTTCTTCCTCACAGGTCGGTACATCCGAAGCCAATGGGAGCTATGATACCGAAAGTCAGGGATACAAAGTCGGATCGTATCATATGGCCACAGTTAACACCCAGTAAGGATAAGAGTTGAGCAGTGTCGTTGCTATCGGGTGGTCGTTAGACACAACAAATACATTTACTAATTTGGAAGGAAAATGTTTGCTCAAAAACGTTCCAAATCAGAAAGACAAATATCAGTGAAGGAAACAGGAACGTACAGAGAGAGGAATAAGTGTAAATCCAAACCCCAAACGTAAATGGAAGCAGTGATGTGACAAGCAATCAAAAAAATTTGAGACGTGTGGGAGGTACGTTGCCAGAATTCACTGTTTGAATGAAGAAAACATAGGGACGAGAGAAGTTAGGCAGTGGCGAGCTGGCACGATGTTCGTGCCAAGGAGGACGACATGGAATGAATCTTGAAGGAGAGAGCATGCTGTATATCGGTGCTTTCCTGAGTGAAACCAATAACCCAACCAAGAGAACTTGGGTGACGAACCACACAGGGCTCGTGTAGGATGGGTCGGGACACCTTTCCAGACAGCATCGTGAGCTGTCTATCATCTGCAACCGCAGAGTATACCCGAGGGAGTCATCCACAACAGAGTGCGTGTAACTGGACACGGGTTGGGCAAGGATTGACATTACCTCTGAAGACATCCCATAAACCGATTACCGTGAAAACGTACAGAGGGATAAAACGCAGTTATAACAGACAGGTTGGGATTAGTTACATGAGACTTACCAAGGACTCCACGTAAAATAGGTCTATCGAATAGCATAACCAACACCGAAGAAACGACGCGAGAACCATAGTCCGGTGAACAACTGGCGGAGTGTGCATGCAGCTCCCTGACGAGTTGAACAGTCTGTCGAACTATGCATATCACCTTACGCAAGGTCTAAATACATATCATGCGATACGTTTCAAATCATGTCACCGACTCTGTCAGACCTTCACAATGTGCCATTTGACCGTTTACTGGCTATCCACGAGTCCGTTCGGTGTGACGTGGAGGAGCCACGATCAATGAGGGGTTGTGGTAGCTTTTCTGAACGCCTTGACCAGTCATTTCGCCTCCATAGACTTACTGGATTTTGTTTAACTGTATGTATAACCTAGAAGCAAGTGTGGCGCGAATACTAGAAGAGTGTAGAACGCTATTTCAGAAATTCACTAACTGGGCGGAAACATTTCTTGCGGCGCCAACACACACGCACACTGTCACCATATTGTAGGATAAGTTATAGTGAGACTGGGTGAAAAACAAGAACCAAAAAGTTTAACAAAATGGCAATTTTGAGCGCCAACTAATTCCAACATCAGACAAATGGGAACTACAGTCAGTATTTCAGTGGCTGGTATCTTCATAATCTGAGTGCTTTCCATTTCCCCCCACCCCAGTAAGCTAAGACTCAATGCTCCATGTAGTCATGACGTTAGGAAGTAAAGCTAAAGCAATAAAAAAGCGGAAACCAAAGTGAAAAACCATACTCCGATTGTGCGAAGTTTATCTTACATCATTTTTCCAAAAGCCTGGCGTTTGTTGAAAGGAAATCGCTTGTTTGATCAGCGTAACCAAGGCGTCGGCAGCCAACTGGCGGAGCTCGGTGTGGGAGAGTTTGCACATCTGTGAACCACAAAAACATCAAATGTGATCAGGAAGTGAAATTTTTCTTGTAAAAATTACTAGGATAGATATAGAGACATAGACTGCTAAGCAGCCAGGAGAAACTAACGCAAACAAGTGCTTGACAGAGACGGATAGACCCGAGCTCAGAAATTTGTGCACAGGCAACTGCGCTGGAAACATGAAGTCCTTTCTACAAAACCCATGAGAAACGATGGCAACTTTTGGGGAATAATTCCGAATCGACCATGACTAAGTAAATAAATGCACTACTCCTTTTTAATATAAATACTCTTGTGTATCTGGTTGTTCACTACATCGGGCATGAATACCTTTTGATTAGATTATGAACCGGCAGTTGGAATTGCTTGTTTTTGTTCTTCCCCCACATACAGTTAAAAAATTCTTCGTCAAATGGTCGGAAAATCCACTTACCCAATCACATTCAACAAAACAACATAGAGCCTAATATCCAATAAGAATGCAGAAAATGAACCCAGATACACTGATAACAGATTTACACGGGAGAATGAACGAACTAGATGGGGTAAAATGGAAACAGATTCCGAAAACCAGCTGACTCTAGAATATATGTGACTGTAACGATTCAACTGGAAGGAAGCGATGAGTGCCTACAATCAGACCGAGTTAAACTGTGTGGAATGGCCCAACTTGGTTAAATTCTCACAACTCTACGCCAAACTGCATGGCTATTTGGCCCTGATTGTGTGTGTATTCGGAAGTGTGACCAACATTTTGAACGCCATCATTTTGACTCAAAGAAGTATGCGCAACCCAACAAACGTCATACTGACCGGAGTGGCCTCAGGGGACCTTGTGACTATGATAGCCTATGGAATATACGCAGTCTACCTGAATGTACTAACAGCACCAAGTCCAGATGAATACACACATAGTTTGGCAATGGTGCGAGTGATACTGATTACCCAAGGGCTCATCCTTGGGTCGCACACGTTTTCAACTGTGTTGTTGGTCGTACTGGCCGTTCTACGATGCCGGATCATGTATGTGGTCACTTTGGGTCGGGGATCGAAAAGCCATGGAAAAACAGGAGTGCAACCGAATGCACAGAAACGCATTGTGTTAGTCGGATTCGCCGTTGGGATCGTATTGGGCTTGACAGTGGGAATTCCAGTGCACTTTATATATGAGATAGAACTGCGACCCCATAACCAAACCTCACAAATGAATGTGACGCACAGTTTAATGTCGTACTGGTTTGATATTCGACCTGGAGCGGATGGTCTTGAACATGGACACTTCGTACTGAATGGAGTATTCGTCAAAATTCTGGCATCCGTGCTCATTTTCGTTCTAACCAGCTTCCTTCTGGTTACAATGCGAATAGCCGAAAAACACTACCAAGAACTGCAAATGTTGTCCGGAAAAAAGCCTGCAAAGTTGGTACAGGCTGAGCGAGCAAATACTGAAGACCTGACGAAAACCCGGGTGGGCACGAATACCAACAGTGAAGTCGTTCCGTCTATGCGTATCTCTTGCTCTAACACATCCAACGAGAAGCCCAGTATGTTACGACTAATAAACAAAACGCGGCAAACTCAGCGTGCAACTGTCATGCTAATCATTTTAGTGATAAGCTTCGTTGTTACCGAAGCTCCACAAGGTGTGGTCAACACACTGGTGGCAATTAAGGGCGATTGTTTCCACAACAATGTCTACGTACCTTTAGGTGACATATTAGATTTGTTAGTCCTGATGAACTCGTCAGTGAATTTCATACTCTACTGTGCAATGTCTCAGATGTTTCGTGTGCATTTCAGACATTTGATTGCCAAATGCTGTTGTCCATCTATGTGTGTCGAAGCTAGAGGACAGCGAGACCTGACGAACCGGCCACCATCGGCTTGGGCCACAACAAACATGCCTATGCACGTAGAAACCTGTTATCAGCACACGTGGATGCGTTCGAAAAAAGTGATTTCCAACACCCCTGTTATACTCCTAAATGCACCGGCCTCGTCCGATGGAATCGTTCATGACAAAACCGATGAAAGAGTGAGGACCTGATCAGTGACATATAACATGGTTGTCAAATTCCACGCCTGAATAACTTTCCCGGTAAACCGAAAAAGGCGCCAGCTTCATTACAATCGACACTTTGATATACCCAGTAAGTACTCTCGATGCTCATACTCGTGTATTTTTGTATACAATCCTGCAAGGACGATAAAAAAATACTTCTTTTTCATGTGCTTCTTAGCCAGTTAGACGGAGCGAAATTAGAAAAAAATAGTCGAAAATTTACTTCACAGTTATGGACAGTGAGGGGATGCAAGATAAATTAGTGTGTCTCAAGATAAGAACCCCGGAATATACACATAAAATGTAATAATTAGGTTAGCCATATAGCGAACCTAAGACCTAAGACAAGCGATGCGATTCCACTTCTAGAAAACATTTCCCATCATCGATCGGCAAGCAATCTTCGGTTCGTAAAGTGGCCGGTTTGCTTCCAGAGAGAACAGGGACACCTTGTGACAATGATCATCAATTAACAGTTAACTGTCACGTTAAACGGTTATCATAAGCATTCTACTCCACTATCCTTCAACACCTACGGATTTAAATGAACTTTACTTGACATAACCTATAGTTAATTTTATCGCATATGCACAGCACTAATCATCCGGAAATGATTTGTCATTTGAAAGGAAGATAATGAGGTTGGAATGAAGGAAACAAAACAAGATAACGTGTTTTACCGGCATTCGCTACTGAATCATCGCTAGAGCGCGATACACACATATTTGTGATGAACTATCTTATTGTGTGATTCCTCACTAAGTAGCACAAGGTGAGTCATATTGAGCTGGAGGTCAGGGGGCGCCCATAGTGACGGAAACGCATCACCATTTCATGGCTGGCGCAGTCTCCTCCATAGGGGCTTACAAAGTCGTCCCCCAAGAGACCAGTCAACATGTGGCCAGGAGACTCAAGGAAGGTTGGTAACACATCTAGTCAGATAGCGAGTTAACCACATTGTTGGACAGTCAATCGTTGTCGAAGGGAATAGTGTAAGATCATATTGAGTGGAGGTCAGGGGGGCGCCCATAGTGACGGAAACGCATCACCATTTCATGGCTGGCGCAGTCTCCTCCATAGGGGCTTACAAAGTCGTCCCCCAAGAGACCAGTCAACATGTGGCCAGGAGACTCAAGGAAGGTTGGTAACACATCTAGTCAGATAGCGAGTTAACCACATTGTTGGACAGTCAATCGTTGTCGAAGGGAATAGTGTAAGAGTAAGAAGTGTAGTGTAGAGTAAGAATCCCCCCACGGAATTCGTACGATATGCATTGCTGACGCTGCTAACTAAGATGAAACAGCCGTATCGTACTTCTTGGCTTTTTCAGAACAGAATGACCTCAATTGTAGAATGAAAACGTGTTTAAAACTGTAGAATCTCACCACCAGAAACCTTTTGGATCGTCTAGAACATTTGAATGTAGCACCACTGCCAAGAGAAGATCCTGAACATCGTCGAATGTGACCTCTCCAGTACGGAATACCGTTTACGTTATCTAAACAAAAGTACGCATCAAGGAAAATTTCCCTGGGAAATGGGCTTCTGGATAAGCCATCAATCAACGATTGCCAATCATTCTGGTCGCCATAACTACATTGGGCAAAGAGTCCCGTTGGTCAGTCAGTTTACTTAAATGGTCATTTGTCGTGTTACACTAAGTAAGGTAAACTGGAATGTTAAAAGCTGCGTCCGACCATTCAAATTTAAACGGATAGTGAGTGTGTTGTTATCAAGTGGAGCATAAGCGACGTAAAAGCAGCACGCTGGCTTCTCCTTTGGTAACACAAAGTTCACAATATAAATCCTAGACTCGCAAACGTATCAACAGCCAAACAACACCCGGAAGCAACAAATACAATTCACAACCTAGCCAACCGGAATTCGCCCTATACCTTCCTTCCCCATAACAAAACTGCCACGAAAATTAAACCTTCCCAAGCAGAATGGTTAAACCGGGCTGGAATGCAATCGGGATTCTGTGAAATTCACGTGTCTAGTGGTGATGAATGATAACAAACTGAAGTATTTCGTCGTGATTTTTGAGAAAAAACTCGAAAATTCGTAGTCGCATATGCATTTCGCATACAATCACACACTGCATTATCACCATGGTGGAATGATCACGCTCCACGAAAGTGGCACTAACAAGTTATTTAAACAACTTCAAATTATGATGAACGTCATATCACTTTCAGGATTGGACCGTAACTTGGTTATAACACACATCCAAATCGCCCCTGGTTTTTTACTTTCAAGGTACCCATGCAAGCTAAATACAAGCAATCCGTTTGTCTTAGCCAACAGCTATGCAAACCGAGAACGGACTCTTTGGTTCCATTTCTTTTGCAACAAACGCAGAATGGTTTTGTTATTTTACAGTTCACTTTCATTGGTTCGTACCTTTATTACCGGCTGCTAATAAGATAAAATAAACCTTGCTTTCGTGTCTCTTACAGTAAGGATTGCATCATCCCTCCCAAACGGTTTTATGACCCTGTGGCTTTCGAATAAATTGTAACAGTACCTTGCCCAAATGGTACTTCTCTAGCTGTGCCTTTCCGGGTTGGCCATGCAAGAGAGGGAACTCTTTTCTACATTTAAGCTGGCAAAGTCGGTAATCCTGGATTCATCAAATGAGCGTTACTTAAATATCGTCATATAGTTGGAAGATAAGTAGGTGACAAGTTACAATTGGTAAACATTCATAGCCACACATTTCCAACCGATATCGAACCATGTTGACCCAGAGAGCGGAACACGATGGCCATCTCCATGTTACTGGAGAAATCATTTGGCCAACCATAAAATTGCTCGCTTTTCAGACGCCATTTTTCCGACGGATGGAGGAACCGATTTACACAAAAAATTGGCCAAACCACCTCAGTTCGTGATGTTTATTGGGTTGGTCCGCACCAAGTAGTTGTTTAAGACATTTCGAAGACAATTGAATCATTTAGCGGCGGTAATCTGGCTCAGCATGGTCACTGTGCAACTCAGAGGACGCACGAACGTTGAGTCACCGCTGGGTCACCGAGCAGTAAGTAGTTTAAACCTTAGTGTACACTCGAAAAACGAATAGCACGAATCCGATCACCAGCACCTCAATCTTTCTTCAATCTCGAATCAAGACTTCGTCTCGAGTCGGAGACAAGGTCTGCATAAGTTGCCTGTTGGACATAATGTGGACAGATATTGAGTAGACATAGAGAAGACCATTGGCTCTATCATAACTCATGAGAAGCAAGAGCAGAATGATTGCTGCGAGCAGCTAAGTGATTATAAGCACTAATTGTACCCCAATTTTGATTTTGTGTGCAGGAGCACAGTCAGACCTAAAGCGATGATGTATATGCTTCAAAATACGAAAACAATACTGGTAAGAAAATGGGTTCAAATAGCTGCCTTTTCAATAGACTAGGCCGAAACGCTTGTTTTTGCTCGAATCGAGTGAGCTAGCATCTACCGCGTTAACAGAGCGGTCTGTGGGGAGGGGAACATGATATCTCGCCAACCAACAAAAAATCTACCAACAAACCCATATTTCCAGCTAAACAAGGTGATGTAACGAATTGCGAAGCTTTACTAGATGAAAATCCTTACAAAAGTTCCGTTCTATTTAATCCTATTCATCTCCGCCCACATACGGAAGACGGGGAAAGAGAGACAATCTGGCAAACGCACAACACAGAAATAAATGCGAAAATTACTAAACGCTGACGTATGAAACATGGGATCTCAGTCCATCTGTGCGCAGATGGAGAATATTCGGTATCAATCGAGATAGACTCCCAAGGTTGTTCGGGGCATGTCAAACAACCTGTTGCCTGTGAGACGTACCAAATAACATTGGTTAAGAATAGCAGACACCGGCACTTCTCTCCCAAATTTCCACGCCTCTATTGTATAATATGTAGCCTCTATATGGAAGTATAAACAGAAAGGCTTATGGAGGCACAACTTGCAACTGAACTTGCCGCGTTCGTACCAAACTTTGTTGATGTGGGGATAGGCATGTGCAGTCATTCGAATACTGTCGGTTTCTAAATTTGATTAAGTCTTTGGAAACCAATCACTGACAGACGAAAATATCGTGATCAATTACGGAGAATGTAATAAATCAAATTTGCTACTATTCCCTGTGCTACTGTTCGGAGTGTAAAAAGCAACAAACCACTGGGTACATGAAAGTCAAATGTTTGAATTCACCTGGTCAATGTTCGACACTTTTTAGTTATGATGCGTATACCAGTTGTATATCGACCGGAATATCCAAAGATTGTTGAAGCTATGAGTATATTTTGAAAGTTTCATGCATATTTCTCTTTATAAGTGAAGCCAATCCATGCCGAAAGCCGAGAAGCACTGTGCAGCTGCTTCACCCTTATTCAGAACCACCAGCAATCCACATCTTACGAAAGTCCAGGGAGTTTCGGAATAGCGACCTCTCAACTAGTGGTTTGAACATTAAGTGCCACTTAATCAGAATGCTGATCGGCCGCTCGTAGCCGAAAGGTTAAAGGTTCTCAATTTTAACCGGTTCGGGATCACCTGGAGTTTCGCAAGATGTGGAGTGCTGATTATTCCCAATAAGGACGAAATAGCTGCACAGTGCTTTTTGGCTTCCCCTACAGGACGGAACTTGCATTAAAATACTCCATATTAGTGAAAACGAAAGACCTCAATCACCAATGATGACTATTGTTCCCTGAAAAATTTTCGCGTGCGCTTTGCGATGAGTTGATTAAACTGAACAGTACCTCTCGCTGAAGTTAACAACTGCATCATAGTGAGCGTCTGCTATGACGCTAACAGTAATAAAAACTCAATGTGTTGGTACTGGTCGACTCTTCACTTGACAAACCAACGTGACATTGACAACGGCATCCTCTACGCGACAAAAATTGTCAACCGTCCAGCTGAAATACAACCCAATGAGGACTCAGGTATAAACCATATTCATATTATAACACCAAATTCATGTC